ACACAGGTATTTTTGCTTCAATTTTAGGTACTTTTAATATCTTATACTTAGATTCCATTATTTGCACCCCATGTAGTAACACCCTGTGTGTGGTGCTCTGCCTAGAAAACAGACAAATCTTTAAGAATGCCATCTCTGCTTTCTGCATACACTGACAGGCTGAAGATTAGTCTCGGAAGCACCATATCTCTGTACACAAGCAGCACCACAAATTTCAGCAGAAGTCTAACAGTCACAGAAAAACTAATGAAAAAGACCATGACCCTTGTTCATGCACATTCCCAGTAGTTCAAAACTTCTTCTAGTGGAAAGCCCAGCAAAGCCTCTAAGAAAAGTAAGTTTCCAATCTAGATTTCTACTGCCCCTAAGAAATACATATTAATGCTCTTTCCATTGCAGTACTTAAGAGTCTTACTACAGCAATCTGCGAATAGCTGGCAAAAAAAGTTTATAGTGTAAACAAAACCCAATAACATTAAACATACAAGTATCATTATTTAACAAGATGACTTTGTTACATCATCATGTTTGTACTAAAAACAAAACCAGAAACTGTGGACTCCCATCAGAAGATTTACTGTTTTCTAGCCAGAAAGCTCTTCACAATACTTCCTTTGTTTTCATGTTGAACAAAGTGACTAAACTTGGTGGACATCTCTGTTCCCTCCCAGGAGCTTCCATTACCACTCAGAATGTGAAAGTTTATTTTCTTCAAAGTTGAGCAGAATGTAAAGAGCTAAAGTACCAGTCCCTCAAAGGCTTCTCTGTGTGCTGGCCTTCATGCACTGCCACATATCTTATACAGTTAACCATACTGACTTCCACATCACCCAAAATCAAGCAAAGACATGAGTTTTGGCAGGAGCTGGGAACTCAATTTTGTCATAAGAGTGTTCTCCTTCATACAAGGTAAGACACATGAGCTTATTGCTTTGCAGGTTTCTTGTTTAATGACACAAACACCACGGAATCTCTCTGCAGCCTGGTGACCAGGAGCTGGGTCACCTGAGTAAGAGGCAATCTCCACACCAGACCATCCCCTCCACTCAGTGAAGAATCTCACATACAACATGTCACAAAGAAATACAGAGATCCCAATCAGCACCTGCAGGTGTGGATCTGCTGATTAGCATTGCACAGTGAAGAGAGTAAAGGTAAAGTGATCTTTACCTTGACTCATACTCCAAAAGACTACACTGCATGGCAACCTCTCTAACTGCCTAGAAGGCAATTTTCACTCTTCTATCCTCAGATAAATCTCTTTGAATACAGTCAGCAAACATACTGGAGAGAAAAGGCTGAATAGGACTATATATTTTCTTAGCGATGTTTCATTAGATACAAGCATATTGTTAGAAATAAAAATATTTGCATATTCAGAAAAATCAGTAGCAAGGCTTCTCAAACTTGTAAAAACCTAGAGGAAGAGAAACAGACACTAAAGACAAAGGATCACGACACAGCTGACTCATCCCTTGACAGAGTTCTGCATTATTCTTGTCAAAAAGCTCTGACTCATGACACATTAAGACCAAGACTTTATTAGGTATAAAAGGGGAGAACTTCTGCAGACACCAGAAAGTTATCTTAGTAGTAAAGGAAAGCCCAGAATCTTAACATTTAGCTCAATCATCCTTTGAAGATTTTCAATATAGCTCTAATAGGAGCCTGACAAATTTCTCAGCTCCCTTTTAATAATGCAACTTACAGCTTGGGTTAGGGAACGGTACTAGCCATGAAAACTGTTCATGATATTAGTCATGAAGACTGTTCTTTTGACCCAAAATAAATATTTTTATTAATCTTCTAACTGGAGATAGAAGTGGTAGCTGCAATGGATTTTTACACTACCCAAATACAAACATGGCTTCTTCCAAATTTTCTGGCTCATGAGTGCTTAAAATGTTTTACCAGCAACTGAGTTCACCTGGGCACAAAAAAGACAAACAAAAACTCCACATTTCCCAAATTTTGTAAGCCAGCAGATTACAAACTTCCCTCCAAAATACTCAAACCAGCAGAAATCTTCAGAAAACCAACAAAAGGCCATTTGGCATACAGCCTGTAAGCTTATTAGTGCCAATCGTAATGAGCAAACCACAGTTGGAGATGTGCTATCTTGTTCAGTTACGCCTCTTCACAAACTGAAAAAAAATTAGCCTTAGATTTGGGGAAGAAACAACAGCTTGTAATGAATCCAAGAGCAAACATTTACTGGCTCTAATGGTCCAGTGGCTAATGGCAGGAGACTTCACAAGATTTTCCATAACTAAACGGCAATGCCATTCCAGGACTGGGAAACTTTTCTACACATGCCAGTCAGCAAGAGCTGCAGACAGACACAGACCAGAGGCCAGCACAGGCTGCCAGCCTCGGTACAGACATGGAACTACCATTAGGTTGCTGCTGGTGGTATCTCCCTGCTCCCCCAGCTGCTGCGGTTGGGAATAACTACACTGAGACCTGGAGAGTGACAGGCACACCCCTCCTACAGTTAATCACAGAATCATAGAATGGTTTGGATTGAAAGCATTCTTAAACATTATCTAGTTCCAACCCCACTAGCCACAGTCCACAACCCCACCTTCCACCAGACCACATTACCCAATGCCCCATCCAGCCTGGCCTTGAACACTTTCAGGGACAGAGCATCCACTATTTCTCTGAACAACCTGTTCCAGTGCCTCACCACTCTCACAGTAAAGAATTTATTTGCAATATCTAATCTAAAACTACTCTCTTTCAGTTTAAAGCCATTCCCCATTGTCCTATCACTAAATGACCTCATTTAGAGAGTCCTCATTTAGAGTCCCTCACCAAAGGTCCCATTTAGGTAGTGGAAGGCTGCTCTAAGGTCTCCCCAGAACCTTCTCTTTCAGGCTGAACATCCCCAGCTTGTTCAGCTTGTCTTCATAGGAGAGTTGTTCCAGCTCCCACATCACCTTCATGGCCCTCTCTTGACTCACTCCAACAGGTCCATGTCCTTCCTGTGCTGGAACCCTAGAGCTGGATGCACCATTTCAGGTGGGGTCACTAGAGCAGAGCAGAGGAGCAGAATCCCCTCCCTCCCCTGCTGCCCACACTGCTTTGGATGCAGCCCAGGATGTGGTTGGGTGTCCAGGCTGCAAACACACATTGTCTTTCATTAACCAGCAACTCCAAGTTCTTCTCCCCACAGCTGCTCTTGATCCCTTTTCCTCCCAGCCTGTATTTGTGCTTGAAATTGCCACAATCCCCATGCAGGACCTCGCACTTGGACTTGTTGGCCTACATGAGATTTACATGAGGTTCTCAAGCCTGTCCCAGTCTCACTGGATGCCATCCCTGCCCTCCACCATGTTGACACCACACAGCCTGGTGTTGGTGGCACAGCTACTGAGAGTGCACTCTATTCCACTGTCCCTGTCGCCAACAAAGCTGTAAAATAGCTCTGGTCCTAAACCAGCCCCTGAGGCCACCACTCATCACTGCTCTCTCACTTGGACATCGAGCCATTGACCACAACACTCTGAGTGTGACCATCCAGCCAATTCCTTATCCAACAAGTGGTCCACCTGCCAAATCCATGTCTCTTCAGTTCAGAGACAAGGAACAGTGACAATGTTTTGTGCAAGTCCAGGTAGGTGGTGTCAGGTAGTCTCTTAACTATCAATTCTATAACCCTGTTATAGAAAAGACAATCAAATTTTTCAGGCACAGTTTGCCCTTAATGAAGCCATGTTGGCTGGTACCCAACATATCTTTATTTTCCATGCACCCGAGCACATTCTCAGGAGGATCTATGCCCTGATTTTGCTGGGCACACAGGTGAGACTGACTGGCCTGTAGTTCTCCTGTAGTTAAGCTATCATCTAGCTGCATGGATGCACCCTCTGGCATTTAGCTGATTCACACTGGTACTCAGGCCAAGAACTTCTTGTGAAAACAAACTCACCAGGAGAAAAAAAGCAAATTACTTTCCCAGCAAATGAAGGATGGGAATCTCTGTGCACAGTGTGAAGAGAAACCAGTCCATTCTCTCCCTTGGCAGGCGTTGATCTGACCATGAATTTTGCTACAGAATAGTAAAAAGTAGTTGATTTTGCTACACAGTAGCAGCAACAAGAAGAAAACGTCCTGATGGGCACCGAAAGTGAGAATCAGGCTGGGGACAAGGCAACACCAAGCCGTTAAAACCAAGCAACAACTTTCTCTCTCGACTAGATTAAATGAACACTGAGCAATTTCACATAATCAATTTCTCAAGAGCAAGAGAAACTATCAGGTCTCAGCCTACGAATTCAACTTCTCTCATGCCTGTCTCCTGCCGTTTACACCCCCTCCACCACAGCACAACCCCACAAATGCAAGGTGAGCCTGCAAATTGCCTCAGTTAAGGAGCCAGCTGAAAGACAACTGCCCTTCACATTGTTTTCTTTTGTTCTTGCAAAGTTATTTTTAATTCAGATCCATTCAGTGATCTGATACTATCACAAAGCTTTACCAACAGTTCTGCAACCACAGTCAAAAAAGTGGCAAACTGCCATAACATTTGTAGCATTTTTAGTCAGCTTTGTTTCGTGCTGAAGCAACATCTCATTAAACTGCACTGCTCACCAAGCTGCAATCTTAAATGGCAGCAGTTTTCTTCAGTTCAAATGGCACAGTTAAGTTTCTGGAGTTGTTAACAATGCTTAATAACTGTCAGCTGCTGCAAATTACACCAAGACTTCTACTGTTGAAAGGTATTGATTTTAAGTATTTGTGCAATCAAAGGATCTTTGTATTCGTGTTCATAATGTATAATATAATTGTGATCATAAACTAAAAGCTCCACAAAAGGACAGACTTTTCAATTTATATTTTCTCTTGACTAAATACTGCCAACTCCTAAGTCTGCACAAAGATAAAAGGAAGCAAGTGGAACCTGATTCCAGAAGTCTGATACTTTTTTTCATAGGATGAGTTTTATGATTCACAGTGAACTGGTCTCCTTTAGAAGAAGATAAAAATCATCTTACCAACACAAGGTCTTGATCCGCAGTCACACACTTCTTATACAGCACTGAATGAATCTTTCACCTTCTGTGCCTCAGGTCCAGGGTGTGTAACATGTGTTTTCTCTGGTCTTAAAGAGACATTTAGAAAGGTACATCACTATCCATAGAATTTAAAATACTGCATTAACAAGGATCATATAAAAGAGGATCATATAAAAAACCAAAGGCTACTAAACAGGGGGCTGGCAGGTGATATGCAATCACAAAGTAAATGCATCTTGAGCTACAAGAGCTAGCAACAAAAATTAGCACGGGTAATAAAATGGCCATCATCCAGCACCTGCCTTACTAGACAGAAGCATATGACTATGCAAATGCACAGCACCACAAAAAAATTTCCAAGTAACTTAGCTTTTGATTATGATGCAGATCATAGCTGTGACACACTGAAAAAAACTACTGCAAGCTTACTCTTACTTTTAGTTTCTAAAAATTTCATATTTCAAAATACAAAACACAAGCACATCTAGGTAATAGTGAAAATAAACAAGGCACTTGCAAGACTTGCAACTTCCTCCTACTTCACTGATAACAAATAAAACAGACCAGCTTTACTGCAAGGAGGAAATAACAATAAAATGGTAAATTGTACCTTGCAACAGGCTGATATGGTTTTCTAGTCACAACTGTAGAATGAAGAGGGAACATAAAAAAGTGGAATTTCCAGCTCACTGAAGGGCTTCAAGCTCTTGCTCACATATGAGGAAAAAGACTTTTTCTGGACTTTACAAATGTGAAGAATAAGACAACACATGTGACCACATAACCACAACAGGAATCTGCAATGACAAATCAGACACTCCTATTTAGAGAAAATAAAATTCAGAGTATCAGTAGTGTGAGCCCATAACAAGTAGTGACAGTACAAAACTGATTCAAATACAAATTACACTCAGAACAAATGGTCCAAACTGTACCTAGCACTGAATGGCAGAACATCCAGCAGAGAAGACATGAAGATCATATTGCCAATTCCTGCTTGCTACTGCCAACAAAGACTTAACTTAAAAAGCATTCCACTGCAGTTCACTTACATAGAGCTTGCTATTAAGCAATATGGGGTTTTAATCAACAAAAAAACCTACCCAACTGCTCGTCAATATGCTCCTAAATACACATTTTATTTTGCCTGATCATTGAAGTTTGCTTTTTAGATTCAACAATACATAAATTTCAAATATGGCATCTACAAGCAGGAGAATCATAGAATCATTCAGGAAAAGACACTTAAGGTCATCAAGTCCAGCTGTTAACCTGACTGTGCCAGGTCCACCACGGATCCATGTCTACACATACTCTGAATGCGTTCAGGCATGATGACTCAACTAGTCCCCTAGGCGCTTTTCTCAAACGTCTGACCACCCTTCCAGCATAGAAATTTTTCCTAATACCTCATCTAAACCTCCCTTAGCACAGCTTAAGGCCTATTCCTCTTGCCCAACTGCATGTTACCTGGGAGAACTGAACGACCCCCACTTGGCTACACCCTCATTTCAGCCTCCTTGGCACTCCCCTGAGCCTTCTTTACTCTAGGCTAAACAGCCCCAGCTCCCTCAGCCACAGTCTTCACAGGACTTGTGCTCCAGACCCTTCATCACCTCTGTTCCCCTCCTCTGGATACACTCCAGCACCTCAATGTCTGTCCTGTAGTGAGGGGCCTAGAACTGAGCACAGGATTTGAGGTGTGGCCTCACCAACGCTGAGTACAGGGGGACTATTACTGCCGTGGTCCTGCTGGCAACACTATTGCTGGTGCCGGCCAGCATGCCACTGGCCACCTGGGCACTGCTGACTCATGTTCAGCTGTTCTTAACCAGCACCCCAGGCCCTTTTCTGCTGGATCCCTTCCCAGCCACTCTGCACTAGTCTGTAGCACTTGACAGAGCTGTTGAAGTTCAGGACCTGGTATGGCATGTTGAACCTCATACCCCTGGCCTTGCCCATCAGTTGAGCCTGTCCAGATCCCTCTGCAGAGCCTTTCTACCCTCAAGCAGATCAACACTCCTGCCCAGCTTGGTGTTGCCTGCAAACTTACTGAGGGTATACTCCTCTCATAGAGATCATCAATAAAAATCTTAAGGATTTACTGAGCCCTGAGAAACATCTCTTGTGACCAGCCACCAGCTGGATGCAATTCCATTTACCACCACTCTCTGAGCCTGGCCATTGATCCAGCCATTTTAACCAGCAGAGAGCAGCTGGACAAGCCATGGGTTGCTACCTCCTCCAGGAGAATGCTGTGGGAGACAGTATCAAAGGTTTCAGTAAAGTCCAGGTAGCCTACATCCACAGCCTTTCCCTCATCCTCTAAGCAGGTCACCTTCTCATAGAAGGTGATCACATAACAAAACACCAACACGCTGCAACACCAACAAACATATACTCTTCAATCACTGTGTAAGACAAGTCTTTAGGCAGGCTCTCAGCAATTGCTAGCACGGCACTGTATTGTGCAGAGGGCTGAAAAGGGCATGGAAGCTGTGCCAGCTCTTATCTACCCTTAAAACTTAACTTGAGCTGGGGGGAAAGGGGAAGGCAGTGCCTTGTAACCAGCTGCCCCAGGAAAGGTTGTTGCCAGTTTTTACTCTAAAGTAGCCAAGAATGCCAACACACCTAATGTGCCTTAGTTACACAGAATATAAACACACTGATTAGGTACAGTAAGTTCAGGACTGGAAGAATTAGTAAGCACATTTTCAGTAGTACATGGAGCACACTACATGACCACAGAGAAAGTAGTTTTTATAGTTTCTAGCCCATTCTACTGGTGTCAAAAGTAAAAAGATGGAAGAATTTTGAAACACAATTTTATGAACTTCGTTATAAAGCATGCCCACCATAATAAAACATGAGATAAACATCCTATAGATTTATATTGCTGCATAAAAAAGCCCAGTGGCTGCTACAAAATATATTCACAAATTTCAGAACTTCCAATGCCACTTATGTAAGGTTCACTTTAAGACAAATTTCTGTGGTTTTAACATTGATCTAAGCCCTCTTCACCTTACATTATCCAAATGTTAGTGTCAAATCAGCTACATAAACACATGACTCTCTAACCAAACAGAAGGAACAAACTCTCTGTTTCTTCACCTTAAGCAATATCCTTTCAGAAGCAACATGAAACAGAATGTTTACACTTCCTCAGGGACAGATAACAAGTTTTCCTAAAGCAACAGCATGTACCACACCTTAGCTTTTAAGAGGCAACATCTTTAAAGAGAAAAAAGAGGGGCAGAGGATAACTCAAAAACCTCTGATCACTTAAGCAGGGTATTGGAGAAATTGCTACTTTATAGAAGTCACTTTAGATATTAACAGGTAAGTTTACTATTTAAAGACTTTCCTGTTATCGGACTCTATTCAGCAAAATCAGCGTCTTGGGCAGAAACGTCTCAGTCCAGCACCGCTCTCCCTGCGGCGCCCAGCCGGACCTCCACAGGGATGAGCTGTGCACACCTGGAAAAGCCCTTCAGCTGCAGCAGAGCTCAATCCCGGAATGGCCAGCGCCTCAGGCATGCAAGAATCTACCTCCCACCACTCCCCCACATGTTGTTAGATGCCCTATTTCCTTAAAGTGTTGCAATCCCACAATTAAGAGACTTAAAAGTCCGTGGAAGTTCACAGAAAAAATCTCCCCCTCCCAAAACGAAGACAGACAGACCGACATACACACACACAGTCAGAACACAGGAAAGAGACGTTTTCCGCCGCTCCCCCAGGCCCCGGGTGCCAGCGGGGCTCCCGGCGGTGACAGGGACCCGCCGGCCCCGGCGCGGCTCAGCACCCGCCAGCTCGGGGCCCCGCCGGCCTCCGCCCTGCGCCGCCCGCCTTCCCCCCAGCCCTTCTCCCTGGGGCAGAACTGGACAGCGCTAAAAACATAATCAGACAAACCCGGAGAGCCCGCGCCGCAGTCCCCGGGCACGCCGCGCCCGCCCACCTAGAGCAGGGGACACACGGCGGGGCAGGGCAGGGCAGGGCAGGCTCGGCGCTGCCCGCGGCCGGACCGGGGCCACTCCTGCGGGGCGTGCCCTCGCCGCCGGCGCCCGGCCGAGCACACCCAGGCCGGACAGGCGCACCGACCCGCCGCCCCCGCCGCTCTCGGCCGGCACTGCCGCGCTCCCTCCCCTCCAGCGGCAGATGACGGAGGGAGGCGGTGCCGTGGGACTGCTCCTCCCGCCAGCGGCTCCTCCCTCCTGCCCGGCCCGGGGGCGAGGCTGTGGCACCGCTCCCAGGTGGGAGTCCGGCGGGCCCTCAACGCCCGGCCCCAGCAGCGGCCGCTGCCCCTCGGCCTGCGGATGAGGGCGCTCTGGGAGCTGGTTTGCGCCGCGGGCCGTGCGGGCAGCGGGGCTCGGTGGTCCCGGGTCCGCAGGAGACGCGGCTGCGAGGGGCTGCGCAGGGCTCCGTGCTGCTCTGAGGCCGTGCGGGGTCCTGGTGGTGCATGGAGAGTGACGGCACCTGTTGTGACAGAGGGGCTCTGGCTCCACTGCTCACACTAAAAAATTGCTTCCTAAGTACATTTCCTCTTTTTCAATTTGTACCCATTACTCTTCGTCTTATCTCTCTTCCTGACAAAGAGTTCCTCTCCGGCTTCTCTGTAGGCCGCCTTCAGATACTGGAAGGTTGCTATGAGATCTCCATGCCGCCTTCTCTACTGAGGCTGAACAGCTCCAGCTTTCTCGGCCTGTCTACGCCCTCTTCTCAACCCCTGAGCAGGACTGAGCCTGTCGGCCTGGACCAGAGGGTCACCTTCCCTGCCTCTGACTTTGTTTCTTCTCATTTGTGACATACGAACTCTGAATTCTGATTTTACATAAAACTGCTTTTGGGCCAGCCACCAGCAGACATGCACCCTTAGCAGGACCACAAAAGAATAGTCATTGGCAGCATCCACCTGGTCATTCCTATCCATGCTGAGAAGGCAAAAAATCCAGATTGTAAGTTCCCCCAGCATGTACTTTCCATGTTTAAGTTTTTCAGGCCTCAGGAAAAAATTGAGGGGGAGGAGTTGAGAAGGAGGACAGTGAGAAAGGCTATAAATCAGTGTAAATGAATGACTGTGGAAAGGAAGCTGTGAGAAAAACATGTGCAAAGATTTCCTGCTGATGAAAATGGGAGGTTACTGGGAATTCAGGAACAAGAGAGTGTCTCTCCTACAGGGTCCTGGGCTCTTCTCAGGGAGCAGAGTGCTGGGGCTGGATTCATGTTGTGTGAAGCAAGACTTCACAGTTGACTGCCTTCTCACTGCTTGAGAATGGTTAAGAACCCTAAGCTGCTCAAGACTTTTTTGTTCCTGGTAGAATAGACTACTCCCAAGCTACACAACATGAGTGCATAATAGCTCTGCATTTATAGCTGTAATTGCTGATATCGGACAGGCTGACTCATGCACATTGAATTCCAAGTGCAGAAGGAACTATTGTGTGCCCGTGCATGTTAAAGAGAAGAAATAACATAGAATTTCAATGTTATGCTTCCATTTTTCTTCTGTTTTGTTCAAGGTCCTTACTTCACTCTGTTTTTTATCTTCCATGGTATTTCTAAAATAACTTAATTACAGATTTATTCAAACCTGTGTGCAATGGTCACACCACTGAGAGACAGTGTCTCCCGCAGGTCAGAGCTGCAAGAGAAATTCCTGGTAAACTAGCTTCATCTTTTGATGCTTTAGTTTCTGCTTTTCACAGCAGTAGGAGTACAGTGGCTCATATACACTGCAGTCAGATGTGCCATCTGGCTCAGCTCTTAATCTTTAGAGTGGATGGCATTTTTTTTAATGTATTCAGAAGCTGCAGCTTTAGCTAGCTTCTGGTTATATGAGTATTTTTGAGATAGAGAAATGGAAGATGAGAATGATCTAATACTATCAGGTCTTCTCAAAATTTCCTTTCAGATTTTTAAAGTGAACTGCTTTATGTTATATTTCGCCTCAATGGGCAAAACTAAACTCTCTCACAGAACTCTTGCAAAGGAACTTTTAAGAACTGCTGATAGTGGTGACACTGGTTATATATGATGAACAGTCCTAGGCCCTGTTCCAAGAATGGGCAGATCCCCTGACTACTCTGCTAAGCATCCTAAAGTAAGAGAAAGTTTCTTCTTTCTTCTTTGTGCCGAACCAAACAGGTGCTTGAACATTTTTCTTGCACTCCTGCCTATACTCTGTAACAGTGCTATAAGTAAACAGTGATCTGAGTAAACTCTCAGTAAATGACAAATTATGAATCTCAGTGACCATGTTTTTCTCCTCATACTCCCAGGGTCTCCTCATAGCATTCTGGGGTCTGCCAGCTGCACGCAGGTGTACAAAAACTAGACAGAGAGGACACAAGTTGCCACTAGTTATGGTAGTAGATTGCTTGTTACAATCTAATTTTCTGCAATTATCATTTTAGTAGATTGTCCTTGTCATGGTTTATGTCCAGCTGGCAACCAAGCACTACTCACTCAGTGCCCCTTGGAGCGGGAGGGAGGATGGAACCAGAAAAGTAAAGTAAGAAAACTCATGAGCTAAGGGCAGTTTAATAGGTAAATCAAAAGCTGCACATGCAAGCAAAACAAGACAAGAAATGCACTCATTTCCCATGGGCGGGTGAGTGTTAAACCATCCCAGAAAAACAGGGCTCCAACAGGTGTAGCATTGATTTGGGAAGACAAACCCCATCACATTCAACATCCCAAGTGCTTCCCCTGTCTTCGCGCAGCTTTATATGCCAAGCATGATACCATGGTATATTGAATCCCTTGGGTCAGTGGTCCTGACTGTGTCCCTTCCCAGCTTCCTGTGCATCTTGTTGGTGGGGTTCTGTGAGGAGCAATAAAGGCCTTGATGCTGTCTAAATGCTGCTCAGCAGTAATAAAAACATCCCCGAGTTATCAACACCTGTTTCCAGCACAAATCTAACTACTTTAAAGAACATTAGCTCTTCCCCAGCCAAAATTCCATAATGAATGGTTTGCTGCTTATAGCATACGAGCTAGTGAGGCAATTGCAGAAAATCTGGAGCTTTGGGGGTAGTGAAGCACATTTTTCTTCTTTGTATGATCACTGTTTGATGGGTTTGATGATTTTTTATAGAGGACATTTATGACATCCCATAACAATGTTTTTATTCCACAAAATATCTGAGATAGAAGAGGTACTATTATTTACTTTTATGTGTGTGTGTCTGAAGACATGTATTAACAATACAATTAACAATACTGAAGTCAGTTTTTAGAGACTTATAGTTTCAGATCAAAAACACTGTGTCAGATTGATGATCTGGTATAAGCACATTTTTCTGGTACTCCTTCAGACAATTTGTAGGAATTACCTTTATGCTGATGAGTTTTTTACCTTTTTTTACCTGCACAACTTACATTCTTGATGGTGTGGTGAGAAGCTTAACTCTATGTCATGTCTAAGCCAGAACAAGTTTATGCTATCGGGAGAGCCAGCGGTGCACAGCTCTGGGATGAATTTTAATGAAAGCATCAGTTGTTGCAGCTGGATCATTTTGCCAATGCAGATTATTTAGCATTTTTCATGCGTCTCCACTTTGTCAAAACTTTTACATGAGGATGGCAGTACAGAGTGCTCAGTCACTGCAGGATACTAGAGTTCTAGTTGTCTCTACCAGAGGAGTGAGATCAGATAATCCAAATAATTTTTTTGCCTTGAAATCCATAAACTGGTGTTGATCAGAGCTACTAACTGTGGAGTTCAGAGTACAGAGTCCAGCAGACACACAGATAGTATTTTAGACCCACATTAGTAATTTCATTTTTGTTTTCCTTTGTTTTTATATATCCAGTAAGCATGGATCATTTTTTGAAGAAAAGTTGTAAAGTTACACATAGGAAGATCTACTTTCTTCAGCCTGGGGAAAAAAAAAATCAGAAAAGATTTCTGGAAATCTGCAAATGCAGTAAGAGCTGCTGCTTAGAGTCTGAGTAGCAGTGGGTAATGAAATCTTTTGCATCAAATGTCTCTCTCTGGAATATAATTTATGCAGGTGGTAAAACTTAGCATGCTGTTTCAAGAGAGATAGTCCTGTGATATGTTAATTTGGTGAGATTTTTTTCCCCTATAAATGTATAGAACTACAAAGACTGCTATTTATTCTCTTAATTAAAATAAGCAATTTTCTTCACTGTGTTCGTCACTCACCACAAGCAAGCAAGACTATATTAACCAGAAAACACAGTTTTCTACTTCTACTGATTTGATCAGCTTATGAATATAATAAAAGGGTATGTATTAAAATAATATTGAGCATGCTCATTAAGGATACATTTTACAGGGGGTCAAAATGTATTAGTTTCTTATATTTGTCTGAATATACAAGGACATTTTCTCCTTTCAGTCTAGTAATTACAGATTTATATTCTTACATACTATCAAGGAGAGGTGAGTTATGTCATATCAGAATGTTAACACTAAGCCTGAATTTTTTTGTTTGCTGAAAACAAAGCAGGACACAAGGCCTTTAAAAAGGGTCCTGAACACTTTTAAGAAAACACACGTTATAGGGATTACCTAGACTTCTGATGACTGCTTTCAGATGATAATGAATCTGGTATCTAAGAACTGATTACTTGTGTCGTCCTGTCGTTCCCCAGTTTTCTTTTACGTTTGCTTTTTTTTTACTCCACAAACATTGTAGATAACTGAGCAGAACTAGGCACTCAGTTTTGCTGTAGAAATAAGAGAGCTCTTCATACAGCT